AATTTTGTATGGATGATACCTATTTACTTTTATACATTTCTATATTCCATTATTTTTAATATTTATTCCATATATACTCTGTAATAATAGCATTTCCTGTAACTGGGTACTCCTGTTGGAAATACATATTTTTTTTGTTTTTTTTTTTTTAGTTATTTCAACACCTCTACAGATGTTTCGATCACCAAGTGATAATCTTAAAGAGGAAGATCAAACTAATCATACTTAGAAAGCTATCCCTAATTCTACCATAGATATCTGTTCCAGGTACCTGAGTCTTGAGAAAAAGATCCAATGATATTCATTACCACACCAAAGGTTCCAAACAGGGCATATGATTTGAGTTTATGTAGTTTCAATTTCATTTTTTTATCATTTCAGAGCATTTGAAAGAAAGCTGTTTTCACTATAATTTGAGTTACCCGGTGAAACATTAATATAAAAATGATATTACACAAGACCTCTTTCCAACTGTATTTCCAATTCATATTTCACATATTTCATGGATGAATAGTGATTTACAGAAGCAGGATATTGAGACATAATACGGATACGGTTTCCATAAAATCTCAAGTAACACGATAAAACTCTTACAGTGAAATACAAAACGACCATGCATTCCATTTTGGATAAATGGCTATACGCAAAATTTCGTGCCAGTTTATAATAAAGAATACAAACCACAGCATACTTGTCACTGAACATGGTTCGTTTGACCTTTCTATTCAAAAACTCAACGTGGTAATGTTGAACCATAGAAATAGATGAGAAATAGACTGTTCTGTTACATAATTGAATAGAACTGGTCAATACTTCATGAAAATCCATATTGATACTAATTATCGCTTCTCCGCTTCATCGGTTCTAGCGGGAGCTGACCATTTGGCGGGAGTTGGCCGTGTTCCTCTTGATTATAGGTTTCCATATGTTGCGTATCTCTTCGCTAGCTTGGTTAACTGCGTTCCAATGGCCTCTTGATTTCATGAATGTATGATTCTTCACACTCGCAGGGTATCCGGTAAATGCAATTTTTGGAATCGCACTCCGCGTTTGGTAACCTGGTTTTTGTGAAACTGCTACGGATAGTGTTCTTAGATTTGAAGTAGGTTCTGTTGTTATACTTGGACCCAATTCTTCTTATCCTTTTCTTCAATCTTCTGATGTAGGGAATTACAAGTATTGTTCCAAATCGTCTGTTCCACGGTTGTACTTCCCCCAACAAAAAGAAAGCCGTGGACTTTCGAGTTTGGAGTGTCTACATGACAGAATGGTACTGGATGGAGCCTGTGAAGTCATTTGGAGTTCGGATTCCCGTCTCTGGATAGTCGACCATGAGAAAGCAGATACTGGATCATTTTTTTCAGGAAAGCTGACCTTGTGACTGATGAATTCGGTTCAGTTTTAGACACTCAACGGGGATAAGCCAATATATGGGATGTTCTTCAATGACATTGAAGACCTCGAGTCATGAAAGAGTCGAGGGGCTGAAGGGTTCATCATGATCAGACAGAATGGTGTCTTGAACAGCTTAGTCTGTCGCAATCGCGTAATGGGTGAAGAGGTTCGTGTACATGACATTCTCAAAGAAAGAAGTTATTGATGAAGAACCTGGGCCATTTCCAGTTTCGACAGTTCTCGACGAAAAAAGTTTACCTAAAGCGATTGCACTTGGTGGTATTAGTGCATTATTTGTGGTTATTTAGATTCTGATGAAGATTGTCAATAGGCACAGAAATGAACAATTACTGATTGTAAAAAATTTTAGTTGAATATTATAGTTTGCTTCCCTAATTGGTTGATTTATTACTGATGAATGATACGCCACTCGTGCTCAAGAAACGTTGATTAATTACTCAGAATCTCAATAATAAAAAAACCTTGCTACCAACCTCTCAATTCAACTCTCATTCCGTGTATTCGTAGTCTAACAATTTCACATGGCAACGACAATTATTCTACCAAATACTTTCAGAAAAGTTTCGCTCTGACATCTGAAATCTTTTTATTTTCATTTTACTAGGAGAATTGCAAACGATGTGAATCGCAAGATACCTTGTGACATGAATCTCGGAATTTAAAATCCTTGAGATGAATGGGATGAATTCCATATATTCGTTATATGTGGAATTCGTCCCATTCTACGAGAATAGTTGAAGACAATAGCAGTTACGAATTTATTCGGAATACAGGATTTGAAAGGAATATTGAATTGAGACATTTAGTTCGATATCATTCCGTATTATAAATAAACATGACGATGTTATCCGTTAGAAATCGGGGCGGTGGTGCCATTCTGCGAGTTGAAATCAGAAACGCTACCTATTCACTTTCAGATATGTCAAAACTATTCACATTTTTGGCTTCTGACAGGCCTATAAAAATTCCTCGTTTGAAATAATGATATCTTATACCACTATAAAGGTATTTAGAGAAATGCCATATTAATTCTCATCAAATTGCCAGTTACCTAAACCTTTCAATGATCATTAGAATTGCCTTTTATACCATATAATCAAATTTATTTCACAAGAGTTAACACGAAGTTGAAACTATCCAACGACAAAATAAATTTAGCGATCTGACAAGCTAATGTTACTAGGTTGTATTTCAATAAATTGATGGAAATTATAATGGTAGGAAATCATAATGAAGAAAAGAGAATTGAAACTTTCCTATGTTTTTTACCACTTTTTATTTGTAACTAACGTTACTGCAGTTTCGTCCTATAAGGATATTTTCAAACTATTTCGTTTTTGTTTTGTCTTCAGATAGATGTAAACTTACCTATTCTAAAATTGTAATCAATATTGAGTGAATTTAATTCAAGATCGTTATCATTAGTTACTAGCTAGGTAAACCGGTTTCGCTCAGAGAGTTGATATGAGAATTTGTGGTAGTTGAAGTAAATGGAATGAAAAAATATAAGAGATCGACGGACCTTACTTCATACCCTTACCAATGGGTAGCCTACCCATACAAAAAACGCTTCAAATGGTTATCAATATCAGAGAACATTTCCCAGCATTTGAGAGTGTTCTAGAAAGTTCGACAAAGATCTGGGATGTTCCAAGGTGTTCCCAAAACAACTATTCTTGAACATTTCACAATATTCCATATTTCGATATGTTCCGGATATTTTCGAATGATTTCGAACATTCTTGACTATTCTAGAACTCCCTAGATTTTCCAGAACGTTTTACCCGTTTTTGCTAGTGTTTTCATTATTTTCATTCATTGTCTTGATATATACTTCTTCGCCGTGTGTCTTTTTGTCGTTCTCCACCCCCAAAGAGGACTAAATTTTTTATTCCATACTATTTATACGAGTTAATGCATTTCAAAAAACTCTTCCATATACTTGAATGATACGATGTCCAGTATTCATTCTTCAAACATTTTCAAGAAAAATATCATCATCATCGGGCTAAATTAAATTCTCATCGCAACTCCATTCGTTTCTATATCACTTGAGAATCTCGTTGTCAGCCCTTTGGTTATCTAGCAGTATTTCCGGTTCCAATGTCAAATTTTCCAAGCAAAATGTTTGGAGTCTTTGTGTGTTGCCAAAATATGGTTTCTGAGGAATAGCCACTTTTCAAAACTGAACCTTTTGTAGTGAAACGAGACCTGGTTAATGAAAAACCCACTCCTAAGGAAATGAATATCGACTCCAAATTATTATATCACATTCCTCGTGTACTACAACACTTTTGAGTTTTTATGCTTCTAGGAGAGATCACTGAAACTATAAGTAATGGGCTTGTGCTAGAACAATTGGAGAAGTTGTGCTGAAGTGAGCTTGCAAACTTTTTCAAAGATTACTTGAGTCACAGGAAACACAGAGTTGTGATTAATGATTGAGTCAACAATGATTATAAAAGAGCACAATTCTTATACCAATACTTTTTAAATTAACTTTAATTAGCTTTTTACTACAGTCATTCTACAGGTAGTAGATTCGTTCATTGAGAATTTTTCTATGGTCAACCTCACTGAAACAAACAAAAAAGTGTAATTATACAAGAAACAGTAACAAATAGGAAATCACTTGTTAATTATTATAAAAAGATAACTGGGTCATCAGTAGATTTCAATACTCTAACAGTAACTTGAGAGCCTAAACAGGAGACCTAAGGCATGAATACTAGATCTAGCAACCTTGAAGACGTTGCTGTTCCCGTGCGATTCCTTCTTCATCTGCAGTGGATTGTATTGGGAAAGATCCAATCTTTCTGTATGAGGAATTGTAAATACAATATCCGCTGTGATGGCTATTACTGGATTGGCTTCTCTCATGACTTAACAAATATTCATAAAACTTTTTGACTTGTTTCCTCATGTATACAATTAAAACTTTATTATGAGATTTTCATTTGACAATTCACAAAATCGCGATACCATGCAATAGCTTCTTCAGACGTTTTCAATACTAACTGGGAACAGAATCATCAAATTGGACATAATCATAAAGTGTTATATAAATACATTGTGGGGAAATTTCAATGATTTCATATCCTTTATTATAGGTCCCGTTTTGAACATCAATATGTTATTTTTTGTTTTCAATTCATTTCAGGGCCACACTACTACTCGTACCACTTCTGGGACTCAACTTTTTGCTCACGCCCTTTCGACCAGAGAACGGGGTAGCTTGGGAGCATTTCTATGATTTGTTGTCTGCCATAACGACCTCGTTTCAGGTTAGTGGAAATCGTTTTTCTCCCATCAATTGCGATATTTATAGGGAACCTTTTGTATTGAGGGCAATTTCAAAGGAATTAACTTTTCAGACGGAAAATTATCACAGTTATTGACAACCCTCGATATCAAGGAATATAAGTCTCAAAGAGTTAAAATCGCCGTGAATTAGGCTCTTGAAATGCATTTCGATCATTAGCCTTGCTAGAATAGTATACATGGAAGTGACATTGAGAGAAAAATCTGTAGACAAATTATTAAAAACGAGACGATTTGATAGATCAGAATCAATAAGTGAATAAAATGTAAAATTATCAACTACAACTCAACCGTTTCAACCCTGTCAAATTTTGCAAACTAGTTTGAAATCATTTTTTATAACGGTATATTTTGAGAAGAAAGAAACATTATACCATCTTGTCAACATTATTTATGGGTCGAAGATACACTATTACAAACTCAACAGTATCTATCGAACATGTCAATGAAACAATAGAAAACAGAGGTTAGATAATGGTGTTCATATAAACAAACTTTCGAATGTGGGTTTTACTGACTCTCAATGAAATTTCCTAAATCTTATTTGGATAACATTACAACGGTATGTTTCTTATAATAGTTTTACTTGTTATGTTGCACACTCAGCGGTTCCACAAGGCTCAAATTTCAGTCCATTCTTCTGGTCATTGCCGATTGTTAATATATTTACTTTTTTTCAAGACAAAATGCAAGTAAAACTGAAAAGTCCTTAAGGCGCTCACAGAGCGGTGCCTGTGTACGAAAGTAGCGACTTACATTGGATTTGAATCGCTGGAGATTAAATCCATTTGGAAAAAAAATCTCAGGAAGTTGAGTTTATTCCATATAAACTCAGTTCTCCAGATGAAAGAGTTCTTAAACAGTGAAGTTCGAGGTATACTGAGTTGAACCTCAAAACGATGAAGAGTCACAGTCCGTCGCGTATTTCTGATATGTGCCGCTCTTGGTGGAATCAAATGTGCCAAGTTACTTGAACACTTCCCTTGAAAGTATCTATAGAAATGAGACAAATCTCCAGCCCTTCTTCCATGTTCCAGGCTATCAAGGTTGCACGTGATGTTCGCCGATGGCTCTTTTCTGGATGGAATCCAGCAACTTCAGGGTATATTTGCGGGCAGAGCTTCATACATGAGAACAATACTCCAAAGAAGGTCAAATCTGAGCTTTATAAAGCATCAAAAGTTGTTGAGGTGTGTACAGTTTTCTGGTTCTGAACAGTGTTCCAAGCTTTCGAGAAGCAGTCTTTGCAATTCCAGTAACATGATTGTACCAAGACATGTTGATTTCCATTTTAATCCTCCAAAAAACTCATCGAAGCAGAAAGAGGAACTGTCTGACCTGACATTATCATATCCGGTTCAGAGATATTTATCTTCTTGGAGAAAACCGATGCATGGGTTTTTGAGTTGAATTGAATTGAACGCCAATTCGAAATCACTCTTAGATCTTCGTTAAGATATGCAATCTCCTGCTGCCGGTGAAGATGTGCCTCCGTAGCCGATGTCTTGGAATCCAAATGGAATGCCACCCCTCCCCTCAACTTCCTTCGAATGACATGTACAACCCTCAATGTTTTGAATGGAAATATAGGTTTGTGATATATCGTTTGAAAGGTCTCTTCAGTCTTTATTCAAAAATGCTATTGCTTTCAAGTTTATTGCAACAATTAAGATAAAATAAATTAAAATCATGTGGTTACCGAAATTCAAAAAAATAATATTAGTGATTGATGACTTATTTATTTTGTGGTAATTCATGATTTTTCTCGAATCAGGTATCTCGAATTTTTTTCACTTATTCGCGGTCGTTTTCATCTCAATTTGTTGCAAGCACCTAATTAGCACTTTATTACCAAACTTAGTTCATACCTGATAGAGCATTCGTCCTCGTTTTCGAGAGACCTGATTCTTAGATCTGTTGTTTAGCGAAATTGAAAGCTTTTGCTTATTAATTAGAAAATTTTACGATCCTCACCGTTTAGCACTTAATTAGCACCTATTAGTGTTCCCTTAACATTCTTTATTTTATTATTATTTTCATTGCTTTGCTAGCATCACATACTCCTAGGAACGCTACTTTGAGTATTGAGTTGCGATGAAAGTTACAGATCACCTAATTTTTTGACTTCGGTACCTAAAAAGCACCTAAAAAGTACCTAATTTTGGCATTTTCTAATGCGATTTCCGTACTTTGCGTTGCTGGCGTAACAGAGCTATAAAACGCTTCTTTCCTTGGCGATAAAACTCACAGTCATGAAATTAACATCCAGGTGTCATTATACTTAACTCATACGTTACTTGGTAGCTTAGTTATGATTCTCAAAATCTCAATTACTGTCCCAATCAAATTGAACCAATGAAATCAAATATTCAAATATGATTGTGATTGAATATTGGAACTTTGCCTAAATGCTTCTATAGGAATTCACGCCTACACTGCTTCATTTGGTAGCAATTTCTTTATTCAATCCAATGAAGTGATTCTGAAAATAAAAACTAGTGATGACATCATTGCTTGAAGGAAATTCACACTATTCAGGATCAAATAAAAAATCGGCCTATTGCGGAAATTTTCAAAATTACTATTTGAATTCATCAATACGAGTATAAACATCATCATCGATTGTGGATTCGAATTCATTTCAAAACCATTGGTGCAGATAATTTTGTCAATAAGGTTTCAATCTTTGGAAAATGAAGCAGATTGAATAATCAATCAGTTATTGTTAAACACTTTTCTTTCATCGTCCACGGGGGGATATAGTTCTTTCAGTAGATATTTCTTTTGTATAGAACAAAACAACAACCAGTTCTCAAAAGCTATTTGGTTGTAATTCAATCTCCTATTCGTTGTGATGAATCATGTATCGATACTTCGAAAATCTTATTTTTCATGAAACACGCATTCCCCTGTCTGCGACTTCCGTCATCAATCATTTTCCAGTGATTACGTTCTCTTTCCGTCAAGAATGGAGAAGGTGGATACAATATATGGAACTGACGTACATTTGCGGAAAAACCATAAATCCAGTACATTCCTCGGCCTTAAAACTTCCATTGAAATAAATATAAAACAACGCAGTGGAGTGGTCCATTCGATGGAGACTTTTATGTATCACGTAATCCCTATTCGGTTTGTGAATAAAAATGTTCTGAGGAAATGTATCGTTCCTACTTGTGGTTTTGAATAACTTATTTTAGTTTGATTCAAATAATTACATCACTTAAAGAATTGACGATGTACGGAGGAACGAAGAAACGACCGAGTGTTCAATTTAAAAGCCACCGGTAGACATCTGTTTCAGCCTGTTAGGCAGTGTGTGTAGATTTTTTCTGTTCGAAGTTTCGGCTTCTGGCGTAGTCCCTCTTCACGTATGGTGTCACATGCTGAAGTACCGTCCCGGGTGTACATCAATTCATCTTTGACACTATCACGACGATTCAGCAAGATTCAACCTGCAATATTATTGAGCTCTACTTGATTGCTAAACTTGAAACTGAAATCTTCCTTGTTGATGATTGTCTATTTATCTGTTGCCGTAGGCTGTACTTATAGCGTAGAAAGTCCTGATTGGTTGATGGTGAGCATGTATGGCAGAAAGCCTTCTGATTGATTGGTGGATGTGTCACATTCGATTAGAAGTACATTGATTATTGTTCTGGCCGGTGTTCTTGGTGTTGGTGGTGCACTATTCTTGATTTTTGATACGATGGTTTTCCATGCAGCTGTGAGGTAGTATATGTCATATATCTTGTTCAGATTTCGATTTCGATTGCTTTCCTTATCTTTCTGGGTTTCTGGTGCTGTATACTGGCGATCTGTTTGCAGCTTTCGAAGTCAAAGTTATGAACTTTATGAAAGTGGTGTTTCTGTAGGGCTAAGGTTATTTTTTTGGTGCGAAGTGAGAGTTTGTGTTCTAATCTGACCGATATTCACCTTTTGTGATGTTTGTTTGATGTATTCACCGCTGAAATCTCCACCTCCCTACTTTTTCAGCAGTCATAGTACGAACGGAAGGTTAAATTTGGATTGTATTTTTTGTAAGGATTTGGAAAAACCCTTTCAAATAATCAATTACAAGAAAGATGAGTTAAATTTACATTTCCAAAATATCATGGAAAATACTCTTGTTGGAGACAGAACTTGATATCTTCACTGATAAGAAACTAAACTACTCTCAAACCAAAAACAGCATGTTTTTTGTTTGAACGCTACATAAAACTCAAGCACTACATAAAAATTCTTCAGGCGCTCTAAGAGCAGTGTCTGTGTGGAAATAGCGCTCCACGTTGGATTTCAATTCATTTGAGAAACGTTCTCAGGAAGTTGATTCCACATAAACTCAGTTGTCCAATCAAAAGATTTCTTAAACAGTGAAGTTCCAGGTATACATGGTTAGGTTAGGTTAGGTCAAAAGTGAGTGGGTCTATGTTTGTATGGTGAGTGGTCCTTCAGGTCAGATGGAAAAGTTCGGCTCAGCCAAACTATGAAAACCTGATTTGGTCCCTAGTGGGGAAGGCACAAAGTATGTGCTTTGCTGTCCCAAACAGAGGCGATACACACTATCTTCCGACAATCCGAGACTCTGCATATGATGACTCAAATGACAGTGACCTGTGAGAAGGCCTGTTAGATATCGTAGTTCATCCCTACTCTAGTTCAAACTGTTTGATATCAGGCTTCGAAGAGTAAATGAACGCCTGAAAGATTCTTCCAGAAGTCCATAAATCTTCTTGCTATCCAGGTGTTCAAAATTTGTTTGGCAAAGCCTAAAGCGATGCCAATGCAAAGGGAGCTAAGCGGTATACAGAACTAGTTCATTCGCAGTTTTGTTGAGCATATAAATTCAGTGGTATCCAGATTTTTTTCCAAGGTCAAACTGAAACGACTACAAACGAATCCTTATGGTGCTCCAAGAAAGTAGCGATTTACATTGGATCTTAGTCACTTGAGATTAAATTTA